CCGATCAACCGAGTCGAATGCGCCTCGGAAATCCAGGAATACTAGAATCGTGGGTTGCTTATACGTATGGCGTTGTTCTAGCACCTGACGCAGTGTGAAGATTTGGTCAACACAACCCCTACCAGGCCGGAATCCCGCTTGCTGCTCTCCAGTCAGTATCTCACGAGCCACCGTAAGGCGTCGAAGCACAATTGACGCCAACAGTCTCGTTACAACCGGGGTCAAGCTGATCCCCCTGTGGTTACCACACTCACTACGCTTTTTTGTTTTGAAAATGGCACTATCACCGATTCTCCCCAGTTGTCTGGGACAGACTCCTTTTCCCAAATACAAGCAAACAGGTCGGCGCTGACTGAATCTCTAATAAGGAGGAACGCCTTGACCGAGCTGGCTGGCATTGTTCTCCGTACCAGAAATCTCAGGAAGCGCACCTAATTGAATTACTATATAAATATATACTATATAAATGTATACTATATAAATGTGTTCCATTTGGTCAAGATAAAAATGATTGCTCTGAAGTAGTAGAATAATCGATGAACATAGGTCATTGCCATACCATACCAATGCTCTTTGGGAAAGTTGAAAATTTTTTTGGAAATCGATACAATCCACAAAACAGAAGATACTATTTAAGATTTCCAGATTATACATCGGTAATTGTATTTTTGTTTGTGATGAAAGTACCTTGTTTAGAAAACTAAACCCTAAAGAGAGTTGTTCCGACATTCAGTCAACTATCTTCTCTAGAACACACCTAACAGAACCAGCTTGGTTGCATGTTGGATTCCTTGAATTGTTAATGAACGGAGGTTAAATTCGACGAACAGGTATCCTGCGGATCAACTTTAGGACAATTTAAAACTTCAGAGGAAATGCTGTCAGTTTTTTAACCAGTATATGAGCAACCTAAGACAAGTGAGTTTTATGGATGATAAGCACGAAATAACGTCATTTATTTTATAATCGTCAGATGAGTAATGCCGATGTCGTGCAGCAGGGGGATTTGTAGAATGTGCAAAAAAATGCTCACTAAGGAGTATTAGGCCAATGACTTGGACGACGCGTCTGCTTTCTATCGGTATCACAAATGCTATATCCAAACATGATAAGCGGTTTGTGGGTGCGACATCACACCGTCCAGAATATAGTGACAAGTTTAGAAGGGTAATCATAAAACTGGCTCACTTTTTAAAAACCACCAGAATTACAAAGGGTCCTACCTATTTAACTAACGTGCAAACCGATTAGCACTACATCCAAGATCAATACACCTCAAGCCCTTTGATGGGCAGCGGTCATCGACCTTATGTTTAAAGATTGATAGTTTGGGTCAGTGAGCTTGACAAAGCTCAGAAGTTAAGGGTTGACCATACTCACCAGGGACCCATTGTTTTGAACGCGATCCGGCATCTTGACTGTTCCAGTCTAGGCTTGAGCAATATGGCAGTGGCTCATCTCTTCAGCCTTTTTCGGGTGACAAGGCAGCTGCACACCAAAGGGGTTATCGTTAATTTAATTGCTGGTGGCCTGGTGAATTTGATTAGCATCTAGGATATAATTCTGGTTGTCTGCTTTATTTTCAGTCCGAGCATGGTTTGTTTTGTCTTTGTGAAGGATCAACCACTTAATCCGGACTTAAACGTCCATAGCGTCGTGCAGTGCAAACATGTTTCTCTTCTGTAATTTTCTAATCAAATTTATACCGACATTTCCCGATTCCGCCCGTGCACGTGCATCTGATATACGCGGTGAAAATATAACTAATTAGTAGTATAACAAATCAGTTTACACATTTTTATTTGATTTTCATCAGTTTCGATGAAGAATGGCAAACTAATCAAACGGTCGGCTCTCTGTCAAACATTTACGTGCATGGACCGAAAATCGCTCAGGTTTACTTGACATAACTACTGAGATGTACACACCAGAGCAGTTTTTGTCATAATAGTAGACCTCACGGATTCCTTAGTATTTTCCTACTCACCGAAATGGACCGAAGTAGACAACGTCGTGTGAACCTACAACCTTGAGTAGTCCAATGCAAAAACTTGTATATGAAACTGGGGACACCAGTTACATGAAGAAAGTAATAAAACTGGGACGTTCCTCACTTTGATTTGTCATATTTGCAGACACTTTCCCGCCCTTTTTGCTGGATTTTCAAACGAACCATACAATACTATAAAGTGACTGTTCACTTTCTAAATCAAGCATTTGGTACCCTCCACAAAGTGTCAATTATTCTATCCACCCTTTTAACTTCCTTGGTCATTCTGTTGTTCATGTCTTCGTATCCCCAACAGGATTCATGTCTTCAGTTTGTATTGTTAGTAAGATAGAATAATACCATTTGGCGACATGAGAATCTCAACGGAGATAAACAATAAATCTTTCAGGAGAATTATTTCATCATTCAACGATTCACTTTTCGAAATTTCGGTACCTCAATGCACTGATATAAAACAATATTCCTGTATTGGTGCACCACTCTAACTTGTGGTACAGCTAACATGGTTGAAGACTACTGTGTTTAAGTTCACAGGTCAAATCTTTTCCATTCATTGATTGGGCGTAAACATATGGACCTATTGAGCGTTTCATGTGCTATTTAACAGAAGTTTCATAGCCATGATAGCGCGGAATATCCTAGGGAGGTGCAAATGGTATTCACGTCTTTTTAAAGGATATCTAGTATATATGTATACCTGTGAATGTATTTACTATACATGAGATTGGAGAAATACGCGTAATTCTTAAAGTACCTGAACCGAAGTTGACGAATGACTGCATACGATCGTCTGCTGTTTTCTCTGATCCTTGGTTGCGTTGATTGTGCAATTGATTTTTGTGTACAAGGTTTCTGAGGTGCCTTGCCACGCACCTTGATGCTGGCATGTATGTTGAATGGAATATCACCTCCAGTGAGCTCGCTTGAAACAACATCGCATCCCTGTTGAATATGGAGAAAGGAAGACAGCCGTGATTATTCTCTTGACGGAACACACCACTCACCGGTTTTGTGCCTTTTTATTGGTATTTGTGAAACGCTTCAATAATTCAACAGTCCAGTCAATTCTCAAGTTTACTGATAAGCTTCCGAGTGACTATCTTACATTATTTGTCACAAAGCCGCCTTTCTGTTTTCCAAATTCTCGGGCCCAGCTGAACAAGACTTAATCAGCGTAGTAAAGTGGCTGCTCGAATTTGACTGCCTTCAGGCAATCCATGATGAGCACTTTTCTCTGCTGCAAAACAGGAATTTTAACGCGGATCTGACATTCACGTACATAGTTATGTCCAATATGCCCGAAGGTAGCTTGGCTAACTTCACATAGTTGATCCATTCGGTCTGTCTGATGGTCGGGCTGCCTTTGGAGTTTTGGCAGTCAACATCATGACAGTTGGTTGTAATGAAATGTCGCAATGAAAATCCTCACAGTGCCGTATCTCCCAGCATACTTTCCATGTTTTAGCGTGCACGCAGATAAAATCTAGAGTGTCGCGATGCTAAATTAATCCTATTCGCTCGTAAGAGATTGAACAAGATCACACATGAGCGTTAAAAAGTTACAGGAGGATTATTTCCGTCTAACCGTGGTTGTAGAAAAACGTGCATCATAGATCAAGTGGTTTTAAGTTTGGAACATATCGCCATCTTGTAACTGTTTGGAAAACGAATATCAAATGGACGGATACCACCCTGGTGCTGCCCCAAAAGAAAACCAACTAGAGTTGTACAAACTGCGCTGAACGTAACACACAAATTCTACGTAATTCTTTTGGGAATTTAGTTCACCCACTGAAAATAACTCTTTACCGATAAGAATAGAGCTGTGGGGATCGACGCGGCGCTAAAAATTAGGTACTTTGGCCAGTGATGCAGGCGGTGCCGGGTATTTGTGTAGGTGGGTTAAACTTTTCGTTAGGGTGGAGGTATCTACTGCCGTTATAATGAAATGTTCACGGTAGTTGGACAACGTCAATTACAGTTTGGTTCTCTAGAAAATAGCTCTGAGCAGTGCCGCACCCTTCAATGTGCCGGAACTTGTAGTCAATCTCAGGCAGGTCTAGAAAATTCTGTTCTCTGTTTTGGGGGGGATTCAGTATATTTCGAATGAACCCCATCTATGTAGCCAAGGTTGTTTATCAGTTCTGTATTCAGGTCCTCCATAACACCAGAGTGCCATGTCCTTAGCCATTTACTCTAGTTCGTGCCAATATTTCAATGTTAATTTCTGCTTTTCAAAAAACCTTCAGCACTACCAGGTTGAAATATTAGCAATCGAACCAGCCCGTTGTTGAGTTGTTGTGAGCCGTCTGTTTTGTGATTACACAACCACATTAAATTTTTCTTGGACTAAGGTAGCATATTAGATAAAGTCACAAGCCTACTTCCAGACACATTGGAAGTAAGGAGAAGGTTTCTAATGTCAGACACAACGCTGCAAGAATGAACGTAACTCTCCGTAGACAAGATGGTTGAAGGTATAAAGGTACGCCTGAACCTCAGTCATTTTGTTTTCGACTCAATTATGTGCACTTAAGAACACGGTTTAGCGAGGGGCTCACCAATATCCCCGATTTTGGCCAACATGTACATGGAAGACTTTCAGCATAAAGCTTTAAACGGATTCGATTGTCCACCAAGAGTTTTCCGGCGTTACGAAGATGACACGTTCGTTGTGATAAAGCGGGATAAGGTGATCTAATTCTTTCAATAGCTGAACATTTTGGACCCTTACATTAAGCTTAGCGTGGAGCTAGATTTCACATCAGGTACACTACCTTAACCACATGATACACAAGAGTGGTGGGAATTTGAAAACCACTGTTTACCGGAAATCAACAGATAGCGGTGCGGTCTTAAACTACTCCTCAGCACATCCAAAAGTAGTGTATGCTAGTATAGTTTCAGCGATATTTAAGGGAGTGAGAGCACTGTGTACAGAGGAGGTCGACTGAAGAGCAGCACAACTTGAGGTAAAAAATGACTTTAAGATAGCGGATGTCCAGTTGGTTTAATTAAACAACAACCAAGACGGGTAAGGGTGCCAACAACAAGGCATAACAAGGAGTGGATCGGAACAGCGATCATCCCATACAAAACAGGATATCTGAAGTCATCAAAAGGGTGCTGAATACGGCTAAAATTAGAGTAGCATTCCAGAAGGAAAAAACTTTACGCTCGGTATTGGTGCGTTTGAAGGATCGCCCTCCGGCTGATAGGACTGAGAACTGCGCATACAAAATAAAATGTAACGACTATACGAAGGTTTATATAGGCCAGACAGCCAGGGAATTGCACACCAGAATCGGTGAGCACAAGCCGTCCATTAACAGACCACCGAAAAACATAGAGGAATACCAGGCGATAGTCAAAGATTCGGAAATGGCAGTGCATGCACTGGACACTGGGCATAGGATGAATTTAGAAAATGTGGACATTCTGAGACCGGGTTTAAGATTCACATCACAGTGACTGGTGGCCTAGGCCGTGGAAATCGCCAAGCATCCTAGAGGGGGTTGAGCTTGCAAACGTGTGGAGAGCGGTATTAGATCAGCCGAGATGACACGAGGCGGTGTGCAGTTATCAGCGAAATGGTCTGGGTCTAAAAGCACAAGATCCGAGTTAGATCCAATTAATCACCCCACCTCCATCCCCAAACCAACTGTCCCGGCACCCTTTGACGGACACAGGTGAAGAAAATTTGTGAACGACCCCAAGAGGAACTTTCTATTAAGGTGTCCTAGACTGAAAAATCAAGGACGAAAAATTCGGGTTCAACATGGAGGCTAATTCTCCTTTTAACCAATCTATCGTAAATGTTAGTCATCCCCACTAACCAACAAACACGAACATCAGACTAGAGACAGCGCTGATCAGGTAGGCTAGTCATAAGAAATCTCACGGGTTGGCTCCCTGACTGCCTTAGAACCCAATCAACCTACTTACCTACTCACTTGGCCTGACGGAGTTTTTGTGCCAAAAGCGAAACGTTGTCTAAAAATAAATCCACCGATTGTTTACCAAACCTTTCTGAAACAAAGCCAGTGTTGTTTTAACAGCTGGGGTTGAGTAGTTTTCGTCATGTATTCAAATTTGGATACCTCATAAAAACAAACCTTTTAGGATTGAATACCCGAGGACTACCGATTATAATCAAGGTTGTTGTTCACAGACGGTAACGTCAAAGGTATGCCCCACCTGCAGAAAACTTCAGCAAATCAGCAGCTAAGCCGAGTCACGAGTTCTAAAGCCCATCTGCCTTTGATATCCATTCCATGCGGCACTCATGCGTTCTCTTTCTACGTCAAAATCATCTAGCACCCTTCTCCATTTCTTGCTTACGTACGATCAATACAAAACCCACGTGTGGGGCTTGAATAGAGATACGCACCTTAAACTAGATTAGCGTGGAAAATTCAGGTACCCTGTGTGATGCCGGAGCATTCGTTCTCATTGCTAATAGTAAAGAACTTACACTCACAAAAAGATGTAAACGAGTTACTTTTAACTGAATTTCATACTCTATAGGATTGCGTTATCTGGTTGTATGGATTATTAGTTTATATCAGTCAAGAGAGAATGCAATCCGAAAGTTCTTGAGGATTTGTTCATCGTTATCTGTACGCGCTGATTCTTTTGGAGAAGCACCCTAGTTTTCTGTTGCTAAGCTGTTGGTGGAAGTACGGAAGTTGGCTGGAAGCATGTCGTAATCGGTTCGCGATCAATGACTGCAACAAGGATAATGAATGGTAAGTTCTCCGACTACGCAGCCATGATATACTGGTTACAGGATAGGTGAGCAACAAATTTGTGGTTTTCCCCTAAGCAAGTACTTCGTGTAAAGCGCTCGCGAGTGTGTACACACATTTTTTGAAATCTGTTGATTATCAAGCGTCATCCGTCAGCAGATAACCTTGTCAGATGTACTCACGCCTATCGTGTTATTTCGATCATATAATACATGTCGTCATCCGTTATTACATGCGGCTCCCTTCGGGACCAACTTTGATTCTCTCTCCAGTGAGTGGCAGGTTGAGCGTTCAGCAGTATCCTAGCCAGACTAGCAGCCCAGGATCCTAGCATCATAAGAAACGAGATTACTGTGGAAATGCGAAGACTTTCGAAATTAAGGACGAAGAGGATCAGTTCCAGTTTGCCATGTCTTGTCAGTTACATAACCTGAGTTCCACGGTTGTGTAGAAAGCTTCCTTCTAGATAATCCAGGAGTAATCAGGACTTCTTTACTCAAGCAAATATTTTACCCAAGCAGTTTAGCGCCACTTTTATGGCCCAGCGGGATCAAAGGGGTGCTCCAAATGTTTGCTGAAGTTGAAGAGCATAATTCTACTGATGGGTATAAATGTGCCAATTTAAACAATGTGGAAAGAAGTACACAAACATTATGTGAAGATAATTGCTCGACTTCTCCTCAAGCATACACAGATATTCTCAACGTTAGGGAGAGCAAAGGATGCGAGGAATATCTTTTGTCACAAGGCGAGTTTGGTGGTGTGGACAGCCATACGTTTTACAGAAGACTCTGCCAGAAACAAGCCTGAGCAATTATGGACAGCAAAAAATGCAATAGGTGGAGAAAGTGTTAACAAATCGAAGCATTCACACTCCGCGTCGTCTGAGTCGTGATAAATTCAATCATAAGCGATGATAACATTTATTTTTGATGCTCCGGGTTTATGCTTGGATCAATCAAGTGTAAAGATTAGCAGCTCAAATAGCTAGATATCTCGGAATCAAAATAACTAAGATTTGATAGCAGATTATTGTTCAGGTCTCCGTATGCTCGTGTAAATTGACACACTCAACATCCTAGCTCTTCTTTTCACATAAGTTGAAGATTCTGAGAGTGAAACGCAAGCTAGTAACTGTAAAAGCTAATCAAAAGTCCTGAGAACTTACGGTGGTTCTCTGTAAACAGTCAATCAGATGGTAGTACTGCTCTTCAAACAGATCCATTCTTTCGTTCTCGAAGTTTTGCTCTAACTGTGGACTTTTTTGCATGAGTTCTGGTTCCGTATAACCTGGACCAACACATCCTGCCTCTTCTTCAATGTACTGTAGACCTTTCTCCAAATAAAAGCTGGGACTGTTACCGATAACCGGGTCATCATGGCTCATCTCAAAGCGCCGCTTTCCTTCCAAAAATGCAGTTTCCGTTGCCAGTTTCATTTCATTTATTCTTGAAAATCTGGCTTTCTGTAAAACACATTAAGCGAATAGCAAGATCAATAATGAGGTACAAAGATGCATTCGAAAATATTTCAAATAAAACAAAAACCTGCAACTGAATTTCTCACCCATTTACCTTAGTTTGGATAGAAGACCTAAATAAAAGAATATCTTGTAAAATACATATTGCTTTCTCTTATTTCTGTCATCCAACAGTGAAGTAAGCAAATGTAATATTAACGGTTTTCTACTGTCTACTAGTGACTTCTTTGGCATGAACTCTGCATGGTACTATAAATGTCGCTCCCAGGAAGTATAATTCAAATTCTGTAGACCTCTCAACTTTAAATAAAACACCCGTCTCTCAAAAAGTGTTTGTTTGATCAAGAGAAATCTTTTTAGTTCAATGCCATGTTCTTCTTTTGACCGCCTGTAACTAATAATCAGCATTTGGGGATTCAGGATCTTGTATGAGAAACGTAACTCTAGTGCTTTTGAAACCTCCACTCGTCCATCTTTTCTCCCCCAAACTTTACCTTCGATAGCATAAAATTTGAATTAACTCCAATAATAGTTCCTAACTTGTAACACTTTGGTACTGATCAGCAACAAGAATCAGTCTAAATACCTTTACCAGCTTTTTATTATAGTCAGGAATCGTAATAGCGCTTCCGAGGTGTCTTGTTTGTGTGCATAACTCCATTCGGTAAATTATGCTGGTTTAAAGAAAAGAGTGAAACTGGGACTGATATGGGTCATTTCAGGCGATTGACTGCACTTAATGTCGGATTGTCGAAAGCTCTTTTCAAACCCCCCCCCCAAAAAAAAAATTTTCCACGTGAAAATTGTCACGTATAGTGTACAATCCATATTCGAAAAAATGGGTTGGGACTGAAAATACAGCCATACGGAGCATGTTTTCTTATGTGGGCAATCAGTCATACGTCACCATCTGTGTAGCCTAGATAGCCTACTCCCAAAGTCACATGTTTCTTTTAACGTGTAACATATGGCTGAATTGTATCAGAGATCAATACAGCCTAAAATATTGTACCCATATTCTAGACACCACATCACTGGAGCACGTGTGCTAGACAGACTATTCTCAGAGGTTGGCTCTAACTGAGTGGCAGGAAAAAGGCTGTGAACAGTGTGCATCAACAATAATAATAATAAAACTAAGCTAACGAGTTTTCTTTGGCTATTCTCTAAAAACACCACATAAACAAGTTTCCTTATAGAAGAAGACAACATTAGATGCAACTAAGTGAAGCACTTTATAAGGTCCACCTTAAATTTCCCAGCACGGTCAGAAAAATATTTGGCTTTTCTGATACAGGTGCCAATATTCTGACCATTGGTTGGACTCCTCCAATCACGGAGAAAAAGTGTGCTATATTGATATGATTCCGCTAACGAAATATTTGCTCTATCAGTCATAAACGTTACAACCTTCAGTTCCTCGCTTGTCACTCCACCTCGCGATGAAGGCAATGTAGAAACCAATAGACTAGTTTGCGTAACCAGGATTGATGAATTGATAGATAAACTATGGTGCACATAGGTTGAATTCATTCACCTAGAAAGACGTATAACTATCTATATGCCATCTTCTATAACTGCAGACTGTTCACCAGCCTAAAGTTGGAACATAGAACGGCCTCATCGGTTCAGCCATCAAATGGAGTTTGAAGACCACTAGAGTCACACAAATCAGCCCAAGCCTTCGTTGTATATTCCAAGACTATTCCTGATTATAGCAGTCAAGCTTAACTGTTTATATACTGTGGTTTCCAACCAGCCTAAGAGCGCAGTACTTCGAAAACGAACTAACCAGATGGAGTCCGTTGAGGAGACAGCCAATGGAATACTTGCGAATTTCTCCCGTGCAGTTAGAATAGAAGAAAGAAGTTTGACAAATTATTTGCAATCAGCAGATTTTGCGAGCTGCACACTTGCGTTTTTGATAAAACCAAACTGCTGCACCTGCCTGCAACCAGGAGGGTAAATTTTTGAAATGGTTGAGGTGTCGAATAGATTTTGACATATATTCCGCTTGTATGGATGTAGGTGTCTTGCAGGATGAACAAGCGAACACCCACTTCTGTCATTTCTTGCTGTGTTAGCACTACTTTATCATTCTATTACCATGTTGGTGTGTTGTCCTCGGAAGCGGAATTACGTAAGCTTTTACAATCTTGAACAGGATTCCGAGGAGCCAGAAACGTTTACTATTTGTACTCTATAGAAAGCCACAAAATCGATTGATGGTTCTTGCAAGCTGGAATGAACTCTGCAGTTAATAGAATGAAAACTCCCTAAATTTTGTTATTTTTCTCAAACGATTCCATTCGGGCGGATTTTTCCTGACCCTGTGGTCTATTGATCAAGTAATCAGTCAATCAGTCCAACTGCAAACGAATGAGTGACATACACATTACCAGTCTTCAACCAATTGCACCTTAACTGTTGCTATGTTGGCTTGTCAGCTTTTGTGAGAAAAAAATATGCGACAAAATGCTGTTTATTTGCATTTCTCAAAGCCCCTAAATACATAAAATATTGAATGCTGTTTCCTTGAATAACTAGCCGTCCAGAAGAGTGATAAGGAATGGTTCTTAGCATCGTTATTCTTGTTTTGTATGCGCATGCAAATAAGCTTGCACGCAGTAAACTCTGAAATGTGTTTACCCGGTTCTTGTTTACTGAGTACGGTCACAAATTTTAGCCTTGGGTAACTATGCCTCTTCCAAACCTGAAAGAAAACTCCAAACGTGTGTTACTCTTTAGTTGCCTTGCACCCGTCAATCGGGTTTTAATTCCCATTAGCGTGAAGACTTCGCTGTCGAACGCAACACTAAAAGTTCTGCCCATTGTGCTACTTAACCGGCATCGATCAAGCGCATCTTCCGAAGCCATCTGGGGCCAACTTGCCCTGGACTGCACAGAACCTTCAATAAAATAAACTTCCGTGTAGTGTACTTACCGAAATGTGGGAACGTGCAGTCAGCAAACCACAAAAAAATGAAAAACATGAATTGTTACTTTTGAAACTGTTGCTGCCAAACTATTGTCGACCGTTAAGACGAAATGTTTCCTTTTTAAATTGAAATGGGGAACAAATGTTTTCGGTTTAGCGCTGTCAGCTATCTGAACAGCATTAGGATGTTGCATCCTGTATAGCTTGTGAACAAATTATTGCATATCGAAGGTAATCTGCAGCGGACAAAAATAACCATATAAGGTTGTAAAAATGCAATCAGTCCACTGTCAAAAGTTGGCAGTCGCCTTTATTATTTATTGTTACTTACACAACGAATGTCAAAATCAGTGAAAATGCAAATAAGCTTCGGTGTCTTATGATGCAAGACTGCCTGTTCAAACGAAAAAATGCTAGCTATTCTGTTTTTTTCTCATCAACTGTCATGAACTGGTATAATTCATCGAATGATAGCACCATTGGTGTGTCGTGCGCCAGAGATACGACGTAAAATAATACTCCTCGTTCGTAATTTATGTGCTCGCATAGGAGAATGCAGAAGCAAGAAATGATTTCATACTTGCACTGCAACCAAGGGAATTGCGCAAATTGTATCCCCGGATTCAACACGTACAAGCACCCCAGAACTGAGCAGCTTGTTGGTTTCCGTATACTCAAGCATGTGGCTTGCCAGCAGCTGATACACGACTGCATGGATAAACTGAAACTTAAACCTCGTCACGCACTGAAAACCATGGCGTCGCTAAGGTCGACTACCTCAAAACGTGCAGCGATATTGCCAGTAAATAAGGCCAGTCGTTTCCAATCTTCGTGTCAGCTGTATGTGTTGTCACTTCCCTTGACTACCTACCTTGACTACTAGGCCCGTATCTATGCGCGCCGTTGTCTGAGGACTCAACCTTGCATGGTAGCCCAACCCAACTGACAACAATGGCCCTTTGTCTCCATGACTGTATGCATCAGACAGAAATATCAGTCTTGGGGGTCTCAGGAGGACACATGGACAAAAAAGCTTACTCAGCACTTCGAAAGTCAACTCTGTATGTGAGGGACCTGAAAACTGGTAAAAGTAACTAACATTTATCGAAACGTTAATTTCCGCCTTGAATATCTTGTTTGCAGATTTGTACCAAGACTCTCAGTTATGGAATTTTTCTCCCTTTAATGCATATAAAACACTGAGTGTGAAATCCGACCCCACTAACTTCTGGGAAGCCTGACCACATGCTCTCTGCCAGCCGCTCCTTCCTAAGAGACACACCACATGCTAATAACGTAGGCGTCATATATTTTTAATTGAAAACCTATGTGGAAAATCCTACTGGGGAGATCATTTTAAAATAGAATAAATTGTAAAATACACAGAGTTTACATAAAGAAGCCCATAAAAGAGGATTTTCTCCGTAAAATAAAACGCACATTTAAAGTTTGTAAACAGATTCTAGACATAGTGATAGAACATTTATACCTAACTTCCTTTCTACCCTTATCTATGCAAAAGCTTATCATGAATGAGTAGTGCTCGGATATTTCCCTTTATACAGGTCAATGTGAGCATAACCTCAGCTCGAAAGAAACAACCGAGCAAATCTCGTCCAGTATGCTCACCGAATGTTTTCTGAACACGCAATAGGAGTTGTAACACAGATTGTACCACATGATTTATGTACTGAAAATAATATCAGTGCAAGGTATGTTTTCCCGTTCAGAATCGGTTTTATGAACAACACGAGCAACCAGCCAAATTGTCGTTTTGTGGGACAGAATTTGTTTGTAGATTTGCCAGCTCTGAGTGCTTAGTTGCAAAAGTGGGGCAGACTCAAGATAAGGATATGGCATGATGAACGACCATTTTAAATAAAGTAAATTCCGTGGGTGGTTTGACAAAAAATTATTCACTCCCCAGCTGACAGTCGTGAGACACCGAGATGATATTTCAGCTCACAGGACATTCGAAGACAGAAAAACTGGGGACGTCCATATGCACAATAATCTAGATGTCGGGCCTGTCAATCAGCCTCACGGA